TTATTTGATTTTATAAAGGTTTTTATTATCAAAAAATTATGTATTTAATGCTCCAACTATCTTTCCCTTTTTATGATAACAAAAGTATACATGCAAGTCTCGAAGATCAATTAAATATATTTTCTAATTTTTGAATTATTTAATATTTGCATCATAGTATTCAAGAGACTATGCTTATTTAATATTTATTATGTGTTAGTGATGTCATATTAGTGTAATAAATTCAATTGATATATTTAAAATGTTTGAAATTTGAATAAAATATTGAATTCAAACATCATTCAAATATGAGTAATATAATTGTTTTAGTGAACTCTTTTTTATCCTCTTCTCTTGTTTTTGTCCGTTTCTCCACACTTTGTTTTGATGATTTTCTTTATCCATTTTTTTCCTTTATCACAATAGCTTTTCATGGCAAGACTTACACTCTTTCTCCCCATTTTGCTCAACATAAAAAAAGAAAATATTTCAAGCTACTTCAAGAATGATGCTCCAACAATATCAAATTCTTTATCTTCAAATAGATATGCCAATAGAGATCAAATGATCGAGAAATCAGAGAAATAGTGGTTAGATTGTGGTGTTGAGGTTTTGAGTATTTAAAATTTTAATGATCCTGGGCTTGGGCTTAGGCCTTTTCTTCATGATCCTGGGCTTGGACCAATTCTCCCTTTAGTTCGTCCTCCAATTGGGCTTAAATTGATTCCCCTTGGGCTGGAATTTTCTGCTTGTCAAGGCCCTCTTGGTGTTAGCCCTTGACTCTATCAAATATGTTATGAAGTTGTGCATAACTGATGATGCCAATTTAAAATATGTTCTCAATAAATTTAGAGCATTCAAGTAAAGGATTCTTTGGATTTTCTATGATATGGTGTTCCTTAATATGATTTTATTTTTTAGAATAAAAAATGATAATGTGTTAATGTGTGGGTTGTTTATTTGTTTTGAACAATCAAGATAGGCTATTCAAAATTTTGGATGAATGATGATGAGAACAGTTCAAATTTCAAAAGTTAGTCATGATTTTGGGAATGATTGATTGATATTAAATAATCAGGTATGAATGAATTCCTATAACTCATAGTACAATAGAATATGAGTTGATCAAGATGTTTATTCCAAAATATAGATATCTTTTTGAAAGTTCAGAGCTATATCTTAAGAAGGATGACTCAAGATTAGACTTGGCATTCAAAAGATACTAACAGTTGAGATTTTCTAAAATTCAAGTCAGTTTATAAGTGAAAATTGGTCTATAGGTCATAGGTTCTACAATTAAAAATTACTCTCAAGCATTAATTATTTTCAAGAAATAGGGTTGTTGATGAGTGAAATAAAGAGTCGATATATATAATCAGATTTCATGTTTAGACAAGTGATTAGGGGTCAAGATTTGATCTGAATAATTTAGAATTACTCCTTTTATTGGATCAAGTTAATTGAAAAGCCGATTGGGTGAATAAAAAAAATATCATTTTTTTTAATGTAATTGAGTTGTTATTATGTATTGATACTTGACATGTATTCATCAATTATTACTCAAAAATGTTTCAGAAAAAAGGTCTTAAATTTATTTTTTATTCTATTTTCTTATTTCTGCATTCCTACTTGTCATTTTGTTTTCTAGTTTTTTCAATTGTTTAGCATAACATGTTACACATATCATGTGATTCAAACCTAATTCATTATTCAACCATCAACATAAATCGTCATTCATCAAAGATTTCAATCTGAAAAACACATAAATAACTAGAAGTATTAATAAATTTTCGATTGATTTCTCAGCATAAATAGTTTCATACTTCAATTTTTTATAACTTAATAAGAGTCATATATTTTTTAAAAAATAACAAGCCATCATTAACATAAATCATCAATTATTACACGATTTTAATCCAAAAAATAGTCTTTCATATGTAAGAATTTTATTTCATTTAGGGATATTTTCTAAATCACAAAATAGTTTCAAATTTTAGGTTATAAATCAGTTTGAGTTGCACTTCTTTCTCAATTGGACATACCAATTTCTCTTCTTACACAAATAACTTTTTTTACTAAATGGAGGTGAAAAATCTCAGAGAATTAAAATTTATTTCTAATAAAATGTAAAGAAATATCATTTTTATTTAAAAGAACTTGAATAAGATCATGCCAATTATATATATATATATATATATTTGGCTTTAAAATTAATTTTAGGATTCTTTGCTAAACTTATGGCACTCATATTCTCGTATATGATTAGAATATTTTCTCAATAAATCTTATAATCATTAAACTAAGATTTGAGTTATAATACTTGTGAGCAACATAATATAGCAGTTATGACTTCAACTGTTGAAAATTCAGCTATTACTTAATTATTTGGTGACAATGAAATTAAGCATTCTCCTAAGATTAAGTACTAGTCATTGGTACTTTGTTTGATCAAATTATACATTTAGCAACATAAGAGTCATTGTAAACAATCAAATTCAAATCATTATATTCCTAAATCAGATGTGTACTTCATATATCTAAAAATTATTTTATGGCTGTTATATGTGATTCTTTAGTTATTTTAGAGTCTAGCATATAAGCACACACTTCAAATTATGTTGCTACTTAAGGTTAAATATAAAAGAGATGTAATCATACATCTATATATTTTTTGATATATAGAGTTTTTAGATCAATTTTAATTTTTCTATCCATAGAGGGTTTCTTTTCTGTATATCTTGAATGATCATATTTGTCAACAGTTCTTTAACATATGTTAATTAAGAAATAACTATATTATTTTCAAGTTGCATCATTTGTACTTTTTAGAAATAACTAACTTCATCCATCATAGTCATCCAGAATTCATTCTTTATGATATTAAAAAACTTAATTTTTTTTTTTTGAAGAATTCAAAATATTACCATCTACATATACTTGAGCTAAAAATATTTACTCATCTCTTTCTTTGGTAAATAGAGCAACATTAATACTTCTGGCATTAAAACTATTTTCTAATAAGAAAGATGTTAATCTTTCACACCAAGCTCTTGGAGCTTTTCAAGATATTATGAGCTTTAGATAAGTTCAAGACATGACCAAGATATTTTAATATAGAAAATCATCTGATTTACTCATATACTTTCTTTTTAATTTAATCATTAAAAATACACTATACACATTCATTTGATATGAGATAATATTTTTATAGACTAGGTTAGGAAATAAAATTGTAATTACATCTTAATCAAACTACTATATCATGTGTTTCATCATAATCCATTACTTTTTTATGTGTGTAATATGTGCTATCAATCTAACCTTGTTTTTAACCAGTTTTCTTTCCTCATTACTCTTGAATATCCACTTAGTTCCTATCACATGCAAGTTTTCTATATGTTAATAACTGAACCTTACTTTTCACAAAATGATCTAATTCGATCCTAAATAATACGCGTGGTCATTTGTGATGAATATCTTTGATTTGGACCGATGGCGCAGCCATGGGTTAACCTAGGTGTACCAAAGATGTCTCCAGCTGATTAACGTTATCTCTCCTCCCTGCATGGAAGCAAGCTTGAATGCCGGCCGGTGCAGGCAGTGGAGAGGACGTCCTGGAAGGAGGGAACGCTCCCCCTGGGCCTGTTGACCTTCTACAACCACACGTCGTGGACGGTGGTACCTGCTGGGTATCGGCCTGGGGCCTAACGGCGCCGCTAGGGCGGACGTGGAGAGGGACGCCGTCATCCACTACGTTGGCAGCTTGAAGCCGTGGCTCGAGGTCGCCATCCCCAAGACCGGGGGTACTGAGGCAGGTTCGTTGACTATGGTCACCACCTTCTGCGTCAGTGCAATATCCAAGAGTAATCAATGGCTAGTGGTTACCCCTCGTGTAAGTAACAAACCCCTTCCCCATCCCCATTATACTCAAAGTGTCCAAGCAAGCCGATTTTTATCGAAGAATAAAAATATTCCTAGACGTTCCCTCCCGTGGGATTGACACGTTGGAGGAGGCAATTGGCCCAACGACTGCGATAACCGGGTTTAGGTAACCAGTCGAGCTTGTCCACGTGGGTCTGTTGATTGCCCCCTCTCGAGCAAAGGTTCCACGTCAGCTTTAGTCCAAAGCGTTCACCCTTAAATTTCAGCGCGTAATAACTCCAAGAATAGCGCAAAGTGAGTAGAGTACGACCGGGTAATTATTTTCATATAGAGGATGGTAAAATGCGTTGGGGTGGGTGGTCGCATATTTCTTCCGAAGTAAGATTAAAAATAAAAATAGTTTTAGAAATACGTATTAAAGATAAAAGGCCAAAATACTACCTGCTGTGATATCGCTAGGATCCCACCCCTTCGCCTTTCTAGGTTCGATTGAGATTGGACTTGGGTTTAAGAGCAGACCAAATTGGAGGGACGAAACAGAAGATTCTACGTAAAATTATGCATCGGAGAAAAAGAGAACAATAACGAAGAGGAAGACAATGAAATATAAAATGAGAAATACAAGAAAACCTATCCCTCCTACGACCGATTCAAGATGGTCAATCTCCAGCATCCACACGCGGCGGATACACCGATATCCTGCTCCCGCGTTGTGTCGGCTAACCTTTATAATGCTGAGGGACCCACGATCGTATGCCCACGCTTCTGCCACGTCCCTCGTCCATCTTCACGATCTTCTGTAGCCATCTGTTGCTTTCCGGAGATACGTGGGCGCCAACCTATCCGTAAGGTTCCTTTCCGACGAGGGTGAGAGGGTCCCGTGAGTGTTTCATCCGACACCACTTATGGGCCCAGGTCTAATATTTTATGTAGGAGGGCTTGAAAAAGATGGGAATAAACGAGGAAATATTGGGCATCCATGCTTTCATGTATAGTGACAGTAGATCTAAGATTTAAGTAGATAATTCGGCAGTCGTCGAGCCCAGAAGCAAGCAACATCGATCAACTCTATCATCACAGAAGGGTTTTTATTGATCGAAAGGAAATATGCATGCGAGAGGAGGCACCGGCAGATGGGCTCAGGATGAGAGCTCTATGCGGACCCCTCCGATCTTGACCTTCCCCCTGCCCTTGCGGGGGATGAGGGTGACGAGGATCTCGTCGTCGTCGTCGAGCTTGAGGTCCTCCAGCAGGTCGGTGATCCCCAGCCGCAGGGTGGTCGTCATCGTTTCCATCTTCCCCTTCTTCTTGTGGCCTCTTCCGTGCGACACGTTGAAGAAACTGCTGGCGAACTCGCTGTCGTCGGGCTTGACTTCGCCGGCGTCGGTGTCGTCGACGTAGACGTCGAACTTAACGCAGTTTGTGCGGTCGAATTCGATCCCATCCACCACGAGGATCTCCTCCTCCTTGTCCTTGTCGGCTTGGCGCCGGGAGACCTTGGGCCGCTTCACTGTGATGCACGCCACTGACGACAGCGTCAGCGGGAAAGTCGCCGCCCCCCCCGCGGATTTCAGCAGCTTCGCCCTCCTCTTTTTCTTCGAGGGGGGCGGGGAAGAAATGGAAGACGACTCCGCCGCGGGGGTGGCGCGGGGCGTGGCGCGCTTGCTGAGCCACGGGAGGTTTACTTCCTGGTAGGTGAACCCCAGCATCTCGGGTTCGAGGCAGTCCTTCACCTTCACCCTCACCAGCCGGCCGTCCTCGTCGTAGAAGAGGAAGGACGTATCCAGCCAGTCCCGGTCGGCGAAGTCGACGTTCCTCGGGCTCAGCTTCTTCCACACCTGCCACATCCGGTCGACGTTTGCGTGGTGGGAGTAGAAGACGGGATCCCTGGCGGCGGCGTAGAAGACGCCCATGTTCTCGCCGTTGGGCTGCTTGGGGTCGCCAACCCAGACGTGGACGGGGCCGTGGGGCGAGTTCTCCATGGACCCGGCCCCGGGGTTGTAATTGTCGCCGGCGCGGTAGGGCAGGCCCATGAACAAAGGGGCGGTCTTTGCGTTGGAGACCATCTGCCTGTACATGATAGACAGGTTGAGGTCGATCTGCCGCTGCGGGGTGGGGGCGGCGTCGCCCAAGTCCATGTCGAGCACCTCCGGCGGTTGGTGGGCGGGGTTGCGGAGGGGGTCGTAGAGAGAGGAGCTGGGGTCGGTGAAGATCCGCGGCAGGGTCATGCCGGCGGGGGCGTCCTAGTTCCAGAAAGGCAGGGCGAAGCTGTCGTCGCCGATGAGCTTCCCGAGGATCCTCTCGTGGAAGTGGAGGTAGAAGCGGTGGAAGGGGAAGAAGAGCCATGAGTTGTGGACCTGCAGCTCCAGATCGGGGAACCCCACCTGGTCGTAGGCGCCGTCGCAGTAGGCGCAGTGCACGTTGGCCTGCTGGGCGAAGCTCCGCGGGTCGTCCGCCGGCAACGCCTTCATCAGCTCCACCGCCTTCTTGTACTTGGCCAGGTAGGCCTCGTCCACCTTGTGCGCCGGCCGCCGCACCCTCAGCTTTCCTGTCGGGGTGAACTTGTAGTCCACAATTTTGTCGTTATACGGGGGGCAGCAGTTGTTGCCGGAGCCGGTTCCCGACGTCTGGCACTCGGACAGATCCGGGGCCTGGATGGGCAGCGCCAGGGCGTCCCCCCGCCGGCCAACCCCCAGGCCGCCGGCGGCGCACACATCCCACCCAGCCCCAGCAGCAGCTCCCGCCGGTCGACCAACTCCGACGGCCCGCTCTCGCAGGAGATCACCGCCGGCCCAGCGGCTCTGCGCCTGCGGAGGGCCGAGGCCTGACTACGCCGGCGTCTCTGGAAGGGGCACGCAGGGGAGGCTGGGGAGGAGAGGGTCGTGAATATCATCTGGGAGATGCCTGCCATGGTGGTGACGACCGGGGGGGCGGAGGAAGCTGGTCGGTAGGTCTGATGCATCCTCACTTCTCTCCGGAGCTCAATTATATATACAGATTTGAAGGCCGTAATCCGTCTGCGTTCTGAACCTATTTCTTGGGTTTTGACAAAGCGGTGGGAAAGCTTGAAACCAGAGACTTAGAGAGAGGCTTCCTAAATTTTAACTGTTTATCATACGTCCTGAATTTGTTTTTGAATTTTGACTTTGACCACCGGATAATCGCTACTAATGATAGTTTCTCAAATTGGGACTACTTTTTGGAGAATGTCTCCTTTAGTGGCCGGTTAATCGGCCAATTGATGTACATTTAACTAATTATTTTTGGTGGTACGTCCACAATAAAATCTAACGAGGTATTAGACTAATAAATTCGTATGACGTTTGAAATCCAATAATCAGATGGCCAGCGAGTTCCTATTTTGATTCACGTGTTCCATCGGCATGGAACCGGCATCTATCATGTGGCATCTCGGTCAAGGTAGCGTGTTGCCCCATCTCGTGACTGGTCTCAAAGATCCGGTTCTTTTAATAGCATCTAAAAGAAACTTTTTCACATTAATTTATGTATAGCTAAAACAAAAGCAGTCACAGACTGGAGAGTCAAGCTATTATTTGACTTTTTTCAGATAATTATGAAATAATATATTTTCTATTTTCCGTACATTATAATTTCCATCCCTCTTTTAAATTCTCGCCGACCCCCTAATTCATTTTTTGTTTCAGACTGTTGAATGGAACAAACTCAATTGCATTGTTCCATATCCTAATGAGGGAATTTTGTATAATACCCTATTCCATTGGAGGACAACATCGTAGATACACTACTAATGACATTAACTAAATGATTCTCTTATTATCTTTCCCACCGCATTAGGAGTTTATGATTTCCTTATAAGATGACGAGTCATAAATAATATAAACATCAAGGACCTGTTTTCCTATTGCGGTATCATTATAAAATATCTCTCACATTATTTATCCTTTCCTAACATTTATAAGGAACATGGAGGTTTATTAACCTAATGGATTGTTGATAGACTTGCTGTTCCGAGGCTAATAATTTCTCAACAACATTAGGATTCTAAGCCTAAGGGGGTTCACTTAGTTGGAGTTAATCTCATTGTTCTTCAAGAGGTTGGAATTGTTGAAGCGCAGGACATTAAATCAACTTGTGTTGCGTGAATGGCTTAGCATATGATGAACTCAACCTTACTTTCATGAGCCTTTGAGATGTTAGAACGGACAATTGCCAGGAAACTGAGAAACCTATATTGTTTCACAAGTTCATCTCTTGTCCCTAGAGAGAGTGAAGTAAGAGAAGGCCAACATACCAAGGATGTGCAGAATCATCTTACGAAGAAGGAAACTATGATGTTGAGTGTGCTCGTAATTGTGATCTTGTGGCATTAGAAGGAAACTATCATCCCAGGTTTTCTATCGTGCGAAGTCTGCTCGGATTTCTTCTCTTTCTTTTACATTTTTATTTTAGGGACTAGTCTCTGGTATGCAAGTCCCACCCTTTTACATACAATGTATTAAAAAAACGTGAAGATAGAAAACCCTTTTATCTCTGGCGGCAAACATTGGGAGTCCCGTGCGTCCCCCTCTGTGGCTTGGTCGTGAGTCTTTATTCTTTTCCAAAGTTGTATCTTGTTTTCTCATTAATAGTGAAATCTCTATTCTCCTTTTGGAGGACGTGAGGTGTATTAGCCTCCCCATTCCACATTAAATCCGTGTACCATCTTTCTCCCTTCTTCTTAGATATCTATTATTCTGTAGATTGTGTACCTTCTTAGATATCTTCTATTGCTACACTAGTGCTCAGATTCAGGCCATTTGCCAACATGTGGTAAGCAGGAGCAGCCGCTCAAATTGTTTACAATCTAGCAGCAACTAATGGTCAGGAATAGGAAAGTGGAGAGTCGCTTCAGGAGAACAGGAGGCACATCACTTGTAGCAGCCATATGGTAGCTGCAATGATGGCTCCAATATGGAGAAGCCCTAAGCGAGGAGAAAAAGGTGAAGATGAAATGCCTTACATTGAAAATAAGCCTTTTATATGCATATGCATGTCTTCCAATCAAGCATGGAACCGCCATGCTTAATGTTATTATTTAAATACTTTTTAATGTTTATACTCTTTAAATATTTGTGAAATAAACTTAGTGCACATGGGTCAATGTTGAATGACGAGAAGAAGAGGATGAAACCGTCATACAAAGATGATGACATCAATCTTATCGTCTGTCAAGGTCCATAGATATATGCTCCACTATGAGTACAAGCATCAGTAGTGAGACACCATGGATGAATCGAGGTGCCTTCTCTTCTACATAAGCTCATCTTTACCAGAGATGGGTTTTAGGCATCCAAATCTATATATACTTAAGCTCTGAGGAGAAGTGCGGATGTATCGAATCTACTGACCATCTTCAAGGAGAACTTTCTAGGCTTGTCCAACAACTATCAAAGTGCTCAATCCACAGCCAATTAATTCTACATCTAATGATTTATTTGAAAATATCTCTTCTTTGGGTAATTTAGATCTACACATTGCTGTACGAAAAGTGAAATAGTCTTGTACTTTACACCCCATATCTGACTTTTTTTCTTATACTACTCATTTTTCTTCAACCTATTTTATCTTTATCTCGACCTTATTGGATTTATCTATCCCTAAAATGTTTCATAGACTCTTGGTTATTCTGGGTGCCATGTAGTTATGGAGAAAGGGATGATAACTCAAGCAAAATGGTACATGGTGTCTAGCTGGGTGCCATGTAGTTATGGAGAAAGGGATGACGGCTCTTAAGCAAAATGGTACATGGTGTCTAGTTTAATGGCTGCTTAGGAAATATATGATTGGATACAAATGGTTCTTCAATGTCAAAGTTGATATAAATGACTCTGTGGATAAATTGAAGTTTTGATGCCTTCAGTGTTGACATAGAGTGTTTCGACATGTACAGTGAAAGATTTATGTACGAATTAGTATTGAATGTCAAAACATAATTCATCTATATGATCATGATTGTTTTCATCACAAGATAAGTTTAATTGACAAATATTCAAATTATATATGTCAATGATGTTCTGTACAATCCTATGGCTAAGAACAAATCTAATGAGTCACTTTCTTGAGATATTTTTTTATATTGATGTATTACAACATAATATTATCTGAATACAAAGTACAATATAATAAGTATCAACACATGTGATGAAGTCTCATGTATATTTTGAAAAATTAAAGTCACAAACGAGATTTGAATATAACACCTAAACAATGTGAAGAATATAACATCAATGTAAATAATGTCTAAAAAATCAAAGACACATTATGGCAAACATGAGATTTAAACTCTGGAAGTAAATTATTCAAAAGTGAAAAAAATGATGGCTGAATTATTTAAATCAAAGTGAAAAAAAAATAAATTTAAAGTGTTATAGAGACATGTGGAAAGTTAGTCAAGATATTTAATGTAAAATATATGATCAGTGACTGAAGTAAGGCTTGAACTTAGATCCCACATGATAGCTGGTTAGACTACTCCCACGAAGTAAAGAAGGAGATAGAGAAGTCATCGTCACCTAACTTGCTTGGTGATATCACCTAATTGAAGTTACATGTATCTCTAGATAGAAGCTTTAAAGACAAATTGTGAGGGACTTGTGTGTTTTGAAGCGAACAAAGACTCAAGGTTAGCCTCTCCTACCTTGACCAGTAACACATCATTAGAGTTCATAGACTAAACGATAAGCTCAATAGTAAACTCAATGACAATATTCTAACTCGACCTTGAAGACAAGTATGCCTATTGATTAGTTAAGTATCTCCAGATATGGTATCAAGGATAATATACCTATAGTTGAAAGATCTATGCAAAAATATGATTGAAGGTTAGAAGCCTAGATTTTTTATAATAACTCAATTACTAGTAGAAGATGTGGACTAAAGACAAACCAAATGATTTCCTTTGAGCAAGACCCTAAAAGAAAAAATGTTAGTTGATAACACTATATTCATATTATAAAATGTGGATCCTATGTATACTTTGATCATATGCAACTAAAGGGATGATTTTTGATGTGACTTAATTATTGTATAATAAATTACATAAATTTAAAATTTATAAAAATAAAAAAAAATCAATTTTTAGATATTTAAAAATATTTATGAATAAATAAATCAATTATGATTTCATAAAAGGTTTCAAAAATAGTGAGAAATTTCTAAGTTAGTTAAAGGGATGTAAGATAATATCTAATAATATTTTAGAATTTTATGTAAATAATATAATTTTTTTATAATTTTTAAACAAATTATGAATATAAAGTATATTTAAAAAATTATGAAAAAAAAAGAGAGTGCAGACGTTAGGATGATGTCAATGATTTGAAAAATTTGAATAAGATAAATTATTCTTACATAGATAATTACAGATGATTTAATTGATCAAATCATGTTATATAAAAGTTAGAAGAATTGTAATTTAATGAAAAATAATTTCGAATCTTGAAATCACACAAAATATCACTAAATTATGTAAAAATAAAGTTGAAAGTAGGAAAGACAATGTTTTGACCTCGCGACAACAATCATCATAATTCTATATGTTCGGAAAGATTATTGAGTAATGTTTGTAGCCTCAAAGACTCTTTTTGAACATGAATGACTTGAGTATTATCTAGAACTCCTTTTAAAGTCTAGAAAATGATGTTGAAAGTTAAACTAATTAAAAAATAATAAAATAGAGTTTTAATATCACGGTGGTGATGCATTAAAATCTTAAGTATTTGGGGAGACTATCGTGCAGTGTCTATGACCTCAAAGGCTCTCCTTAGGCATAGACGACGTAGATAATCTCTAGATCTTCTTATAAAGTCTATACATCAATAAGGTAGATTGACAAATCATCTTCGACGATTGTCACTTGACGGAGTAGAAAAATAGTAACTTTGTAGAATTTCGGCGGCTATCATTTGACAAAGATAAGCTAGATAGAAGTGGGACACATCTTAAGGAGTTTTATCCTTAGATTTGCACAACAAGATGGGGCTTTTCATCATATCTTGTTCGCTCTCAAAAAGTGGCGACTTGTCTTCTAGCAGATCGTCCTCTTCTTGATGATGGCTTGTTTGTCGATCAATTAAAGATAATTTACTCGATAGATTTGCGGTCTTTTTATCCAAAATCACTTGATAATTTAGTAATGATGTTCCAAAAATCACATTAACAAGATTTTTACCGATGATTGAATGATTCTGGTGGCTTAATCAAAGATCGACACTCTACAAAAAAATCACGATTTAATGAGATAAAAATACAAAGTTTTGACTCTAGTGAGATTTGAATCCTCATTGATTACCTGCATGCGAGAGAGAGTGACATAAGTACGTTAATATCATTATCTAGTGACACCATAAGGATATATTATTCTTATCATTTAAGGGTATTATAGGTATATAAATATTAAAAATAGATGACAGCGAATGATACCTAAATTTAGTCCCACATCATCTATTTTTAGACGCTTGAGATAGATATACAATAATATGACTTTTTGTGTTCAATAGCTCTCTCTCTTATGTGTGTACGACCACTTGTTGCTCGAAGCCTGATTGGTCACCAATGATGTGGAAGGGGAGTGATGCACACATGCCCTAGCAACCCTTAGTCACTTGAGCCCACTACTCGTAGCTCTGGTTGACTATGCTTCTCACTTGTTGACTGGCCGGAGGGTACCCCTTTTTTTATATTTTTATTTTATTTTATTTGTCTTCATTTATCTCAAAAATCTGATTATAAAATTTATATAAATTTATATAGAATCACATAATTAGCCAAAAATTTATATTAACTAACTAAAAACCACTTTTCACAATTTAGCACAAATATAAGTCTATTTATCATAAGTTAAGGTTTAAAATATATTATTAATTAATTATTAACTCATGATAATGAAAACTTATCAGTTTCCCTTCCCTATTTCTCGATTTCCTTCTTTTTAGATTCGTGAATGGTTGAGAGGCATTCATATCCCTCTAAAACTGGTCAACCATCTTTTCTTTAGGTGGCTAGTTTAATTGGTCATGCCACCTCCTTTATTTAACTATTCTGCCTTGTCACATCACCTCCTCTTCTTAATTTCCTACTTTTGATTTTTCTAAATTAAGAAGATGTCATAAAAGAAATCTCATGAAAGATAAAATATTCCCCTTATTAATAATAATTAGATTTAAGTTTATATTAAATACTTATTATCTTAGGCATCTAAATATCATCTAAATGAATTTATGAAATATAAATAATTTTGTTCACCAGTTCTTATATGTTCGAGAATTTTTCAAACAAATAATTCAATTAAAACTTAATGTTTATAATATGCTAACTTTGTAAATCATATTTTAAGCATAATTCATGCCTCTTACATGGAAATTAATCAAATCATAATAATAACAATCTTATATTGAAATCAAAACATTATGCTTAACACATATAATCAAAGTATATACATACGATCTACATTTTATAATATAAATATAGAGTTATCACACCCCCCAACTTACTTCATTGCTAGTTCGTTAGCAATGAGTTAAGTTAATGCATAACTTAGATCTATTTCTCCTCCAAATCCTCATACAACTACATAATTCAAGAAAGGTTAGAATGATGAACTTGCCTATGTAGGGAACTTACAATTTTCAAGATTGGAGGTTAATAGTAGGCACATGGAAAACCAAAGTACCTCCTTATATTAATAGAACACATGTCACTTGGTGACCTAGACAAACACTCCTACTGAAGAAAATACCACCAACTTAAGGATGAAAATAAGCACTTAAGGCCTAAACAAAATCCTTTACTTCATATTCAAACTTTGAACCCACAGAAAGAAGGTGATCCTACCTCGTAGAAGACATAAGCTTATATATAAGGGAGAGAAAAGATGTGATACACTTAAGGTGAAATTGGTCCCCTTGTTTTTAGTACTTATGTACTTTTTTTTTTCTTTTTTTAAAATAGGGGTTTTGCCAATGAATTTGAGATAGATATTTGTAGAAGAGATGAGATAGAAGATGGCATGTCTTTTACCATGGATTTGGAGGTCTTCTATCTATGAATTCCCCATTTGAACCACATAGAGTGAATTCAATTTAGCACTAAAATAAATACTTTCAATCACTAAGTAGGGAGGGTAAATATTAGTTCAAAGATGATGCTAGGAGTCCTTGATCCATAGAGCCCACTAATATGCCAGTTTGACCCAAGAAGAATGCCTCACATTGACCTCCCACTTGAATCTTATAGTCTGAACCGGTATGAGTTTTGCCAATCCTTACGCTAATTAATATAGGCATAAAAATTTGGTGGAGATATAAACTTTGTGTGCTTAATGTTAAAGCTAGATTTTTGTGTTTTAATTAGTTTTAATATTTTATTTTATTTTTTTAACTTTCAGAATAAATATATGATATATTATTAATTTTAAAAGTCTGAAGTTAAAATACTTAATGTAATTTTTGATTATTAAAATAAAAATAATAAAATATAATAAATATTCCACATGTCGGCAAGTCACCACTTAATAGCTAACCCAAAGGGGGTGCTGTGGTCGAGTGGGTAGACTCAGACCGGGGGAGCCACAAGCTGGGCTTGAGTGGTGAAGGACTTGCTCTGTGCACGTGTGCATCACTCCCCTACCACGTCTCAGTGGCCAACCGGTGGTGGAGCAAGGAGCATCCGTACAAACGTGTGCATGCGAGGGCATAACACCTTTTTGCCTTCTCCCAAGATGGTCATGGGCATTATTTTATTTTGGAAGAAGGGATCTATGATAAGATAGAGTAACTTTGAATTATATTCAGCTTAAACGATGATGAACTTCCGATGTGGGAGTAACTGTTTCATCTGTTTCAAGACAACCATCTGAAGTGCGGTGTGGTCCAATCGTATTCAGCGAGCCACATCATCAGATTAGCTAGATCCATTAAAGTCTCATGCGTACATCAATCCATCAGCAGTTCGCGAATCTAATGCTGCTCAGCACACACGTGGCTTTAAAGAATGATCTAATGGTTAAGGAGTCGCCACAATACCAGAAACTTAAGTTTTCGGTCGGCAGCAGTTTGTGGCGGGTTGATCTTGTGTCACTCAACGTGCCACGTGACCAAGTACAACTGATCTAGCAGCAACCAAAGTGCCACGATACCGAGAGCTTAAGCTCTTGCAAGTATCACTATCAGGGATATAAAGACAATAATTAATTATTATCTAATAAAATAGATATTATTGAATGCGACAATCTGTTTCCTCCTTCCTTTTGCGCGATCAACGCCTCCAATGATCGGCAAGTTCGTTCCTTCCTCTCTTAACTAGACTCAAGGCCTCTAACAAGTGGTCGGTTCTTTCCTTCTCCCCCTAGACAATAGTGACAATGTGGTCAACCTCTTTTTCGGCAGATCTCTCCAGCAAGCAATGTAGCACTTCCAGACGACACTTCTGCGACTTTCAGGCTGGTGTGGCATGTCTAGATGAAATCAAGCCGTCAGACTGGTGTCTCCAGTTTCCCAAGAGGCAGACTAAATTTGAGCAATGATTTATTTCCTACTTTCAACATTTACTTACCTACTTTTGTCATTTATTTATATTTTATGACAAGTTATTTCCCTTTCATGCATGTTTCGATTGAAATGAGTAGAATTAATTCAAAACCTGATGAATGATCTTCGTTCTTCTTTTGAATCCTCCGAAACTCATTTGAGATTAAGTTAAGATCATTTTCAACTTATTTTCTATTGATTTTCACAGTCAAATCTCAACATAATCATGTTTTTGACATTTCATGAATAACGATTATTTTTCTATTTTTGAATGCAAAATCAACAAGATTAAAGGCTGATTAATGAGCGTTCAATGGTTAAAATAAATTGGAGACATTCACGTCTAACCTTATGTCATGTGCGTAAATTTTTGAGCACACATTCGTCCCAGAATAATGGTCACCGTGAAAACAGGTTGACCATATTTTTTTCTTTCTTCATTTTCATCTTATTTCTCTC